TTTTTTGTTTACCATTACGTTCTACGCCCAACGTTATGAGTCTTGCCTTTCTCTATTAGGCAGCTCCTCTACTAGGTGAATGACCGTTCTTTCTTTAAGAGCGAACGAAGTTCTTTCTTAGCGGATAGAAGTGAATTGTAGGCAGTCATTTTAAAGTAAATTAGAGTTTATGCGATTACAATCCTCGACTTTGGAAAGGTGTTCGTAGAACTGAAGTGTCTAGTTGGAGAGTTCATTGTGATACAATAAAATATACTTTCATTTGGAACGCTAAGTCGCATCATATTAGTGAAATATTATTACCTTCCGTGAAGAATAAGGAAGAATGCACCGCAGAGATTTTTATTCTTCCTTCTTATGAACTTTTCTTACTTAACATAAGGAATATTAATTGTCAAAGAATCAAAAAGTGTCACAATTGTTATTGAACACAAACAACAAGTGCCACTGCGCTTGTGCAATGTTAAATTTCATAGGTTTTTTGGTTACACGGTTTTGGATTAACGTGAGGTACTTTTTTTACACATAAAAATGTGAGCTTTTTAATTCGATTGATTTATTGATTGATTAGTGATTCCGGTCGCGTAATCTCCTAAGGTCATTAGTCACGTAAATGTAGTGCATGGTTTTCTACGGGATGTGGTGGTGATCTTCCACGCCTTCATGGTGAGATCCGGCGCCGACCTACAAGCTCAAAGCTCCCGACCGATCTTCCGGCATGTGTAGTAGTGACAAGTAAAGGGTGAGGAGAGGAGTAGGAAGGGGAAGAAAAGATCGCGCACGGTCCGTGGCCTGTTTGTTAGGGTACTGCATTTGCCTAGAATTGATCAGATAAACCATGGACAACTACTGATCAGAGCTTCCGGCAGCCAGGAGTCTCTAGGCAGCGACTGAATTCGACCTAGTTATGTAGCTAGCGTCTAAAATCCTGCCACCACGGGACTCGAACCTAGGAGCTGTCGGTCAGATGCACTGCATTGTCATGAGTTGATGCCCTGAACCACCTCTCTCAGTTTTTTAATTGAACAGTCGAGTGTACTATCTGACCGAAAATATGCTTGTTCCTCAAGTTAGTGGTGGGAAATACGTTCTATAAGTTACCTCTGTGGTGTGAACACTGCTAGTGGGAACAGGCGTACCCAAATGGGAGGACTGGGATCAAGGACGAACTGCAGCGTAGTTATCGTGCTCTACATTTTGTAGTTATCGTACTCTATTGTTTAGTAACAAGTTCATTTTTCATATTCATTGATATAATTTTTGGTTCTTCTAAACAAAAAAAGGACGTGTCCTTCTGTGTCCCAGCGAGTTGGTACAAAATAAGATGTTCAAATGATATATATCCTTGAAAAATCCTAAAAAATTGAAAATATTTTCTTAGTAACATATAGAAAATGGACGTATTGTTGCAAAATATAAGATTTTAAATATTGAATGTTTCTGCAATTATTTTGTAATTTATTGTAGAGCCCGTCATTGATGCTCTCTCAGCTCCATATTTGTGTTCTTCCGAGACTAGGCATTGCTATGCGAAGAGTACGTTATGCGCAAGGGAACTGAACTGAAATCACGGCGCTCACACCATAATATATTTTCTATCTTTGTATCACCTCTCTAATTTGCAAAAATGTGCAGTTCAACGAAAATGAGATCTGCACTATATTCTAAAACCTTCTTTGACCTAGCCGTGGAAAATATGTAAATAAATTTGGAGCGATTTTTGAGGAAATATTTATTCTAAACATTACTTTAACTGTAACAACAAATTACGAAAAAGTTCTCGCCTGTACAAAAAAATGTACTCCATCTTTTTTCATGATCTGATTTTTTGACGTGATTTCATTTAAGACAAAGATATTTTATATACATTCTGTACTGTTATTTTTTTCAGTTTTCAAAAATACAAAGTATGTCAAAAATGGCACCAGTATCAGTTTTTTACCTTTTGATACATGAGAGGATAAATTTAAAAAAATTGGACCTGGCTTTGAGAAAAAAATATCTGTAAACACATGCCTATTTTTCACGCAAAATTATGAACAACAACTCACAAATTCGAAAAAATATAAAAGGCCTTGTTTCAAGATATGTCTTTGAACAATAGCTTACATTAAGGAACAAATTACTACATTCAATTTTATAGTTGTAGGAAGGTTACAAAATGAGATTTTGCAATTTTTGAAAAATTAGGGATTATAATAAAAATGAGGCCCGCGCCATTCTTTTAAGAGTATTTTACGTTATTCGAAAACAAAGTTGAATAGAACACCGATTGACATTTACAAAACTGGTCATTTTGAGAGTATTTCGATAGTGTTGTAGAGATTTCATGTGAAGTATATAAAAAAACGAATAATTTAAAATATCCGATTCAAAATCTCAGGGTCTTGAGTTCGTTTACATTGATCGCGGGTAATCAGTTTTGGAGAAAATAGTCTGAAGAGTTTAGGCGCTAGCCTTGACCACAGAAGAACGGGTGGACAGAGAGACGTTTTGCCGTAAACCTATTCTTCGGCATCAAGTATCATCAAATCTGACTTCTGACTACATAAAGTCTCAAGAGGATGTAATTTACTATTTATAGGAACACTATTTATTCACTTTTTCATTACCAGGGCCAGGTAACAAGAGTTTTTCTGTCGAAAAATCGCCGTTTTCCGGCGCTTAATTACAATGATTTCTCTTCTTACGAAGTATGGCGACAAAGTAAAAATGACTGTTTTTGAGATGTGTCAATGTTTCTTGTGCACGGGCGATATGACTGCGATGTCACTCTAAAAATGTGTGTTATTGAAAGAATGTGCTAGCAGATTTTGAATTGAAAAAGTACAATTGGCAACTCTCTTTCTTCAACAGACCTCGAGTTCCCAAATGTAAATCAGTTAAGAAATCTCAAGTAGAAGACTGGAAAGTACGAATTCACCATGTGATTGTCTGCAAATTGCAGATCAGTTGTCTACTTGATGCGATGACTGTAAAGTTTCAAGAGCACGAATGAATTGATTAAAACTGTTAGTGGACTGTAGCAACAAAAATGCCACATAAATGAACAAAACCACATAAAATAGTTTTTCAAAAAAGTGACACTACACTGCTCAAGTGCAAGAAATAAAATACTTTCGTATAACAAAGGAATTAATTAAATATTTTAACGAAAGCAGTCTTCACGAATACTGCGATACATATACATGTACATATGGAGTAATAAACGTACGACAACACACACACACACATACACATAACACATTCTACACATAAGTATATATGGAGTATATATGGGTACACAGTACTACAGTTCTTCACATACAAAGAGTATAAAATAGTTGCTGTTCCATTACGCAATAATAGCAAATATTAGCTATGAATAATAGCCGTGAATATCAAATATGTAATGGCAGGCGGTCTCTTTCGTGGAGCTTTGTCTCAAGACGTCAGCTGTGCCATAGGCTGGGACGTACTGAGTTTGAGAATTCAGTTCATATGTGTAGTACAAAAATAGACGGAATTGCAGAATCAAATATTTGAATTTTTCAAAGTCGTGGCTGTTTCAAGGTTTCTCTATTTTTCTCAAGTTACTGGGTTTCTAGCAAAATCAAAGACACACTTATATGGCTGGAGGCTGCTTAGTTTTCTTTCCATTTCTGTGCGCATTGGAAATTTAGTAAAATAAATTTCACAGGTGATACGTATAAGCAACTGAAAATATCGATAATACATTAATTCATTTTAATATTGAGCATTATCCACGTAACAAATATGCTAGCGCACGTATGAATAATAAAACAAAATTGTGAAAACTAATGATAAACACAAGTAGATAATTATTGGTATGTAGATTTCATGGATTGATATTTCTTTGATTCATATATAACGAGAAAAATTTTCAGCATATTTTCGTGTGAAATCTAAGACCCAGCATTTTAAACACTTTATTTTTTTAGTTTCATAAATGTCCTTTTATTATTACTACATGCTTTATTCAATTTACCCAAATACTAAACACTTGCCTTTAACTTTTTGCCTTCGATAGCGGCTACTTTCCACTTGCTGATTTTATTTAAATCTTAACGATTTTTCTTTCTGTCGTCAGCACAATACATTCTAAGATTAGATGGTACGCATATTGATCGTTTTGCTGAATTTATACCTAGTGTCATCATTCTGAATCAATGAAAATATGCTCTTCATTTTGAATGATCACGGGCTACAGTCCATAGCGATGGCCATGGGAGGTCTAGCGGGACCATTACTTAAGGGGACTCCGCGAGCATCATGTTGCGAGAGTTTCGGGCACGTGTGTTGCGAAGCTCTTGCGGCTGCCGAGACGAAATTCCATCAACTGCCAGGCAACTGTCACGCGCGACCTCGCTTCTGCCGCACGCGCCGCCTGCAATTCCCGACGCGCGGATAAAAATACCCAATTAAACGCGTAATTATTCCGACGTCGGCGGAGTTCATCTTGCAACGACTCCCGCGGATGCCTTCCCGAGGAGAGAGGCTGCGAGAGATTACAGCTGCGTTGAGCAACAAGGAACCGATGCTGCGTTGCTCCTTCTCAGAGTGCCCCGGTCTCGCTCGGAAATTAATTCCGCTTCAAGGAAACGAGTCTCAAAAGGTAAATAGCGCTCCTTAGCGCTCGCCTACAAACAGCTCTTTCAACCACCGGCTTTATAGGAAGTTTCTAGAGCCGTTACGGTTCTTTGCTGAGCGAATAATAGCGGCTAAGAAAGTGAACAGCTAACAAACACCAGCGTGAAGTGCGGATCGGCAATCGTTAATGGGCGGTCGGCTTTTAATGTTACTTTCAAGATAAGCGCACGAAAGTTGTTGTCTTTTGAAATCAAACATGCGGCGTGATCGCGTCGCGGGCGGGGGCGGGCGGCGGGCGCGCGAGCGAGCAGGTGCGCGGCGGCGGCGGCGGCGGAGGCGGAGAGCGGCAGGTGGGTGGGGGGCGGCGCCGCGCGGCGCGGCAAAGTGTGCCGGCGCCCCACATCCCCGCCAGTCGGCGTTCTCCCGCCGTCGCCGCCACTGCCGCTCGCCGCGCGAAGCCCGCCTCCCGTCGCCCGAACCCACGTGCGTGCGACACCTGTCGCCTTCCAGCCGGCCGGCCGGCAGCTCCAGCCTTCGAAGGCAGCGCACCGCCCACCGAGCGAAGTGTAGTTCGACCCCGCGATAGAGGCATTTGTGGCCGGAGCTGGTTCGGATCGTGAAGTAGGACCGTGACAGAGGAATCTAAACATTCCCAAACAAAAACAGTGAAATCTGACGACCGGAGTGACGGGCCACTGCATCTCCCGAGAGAGCGGGTCTCCGCTGGCCTTGAGAGCAAGCGGCGGAGCAGCAGTGACAGGCCGGGAGGCCCGCCCGCATCGCCGTGGGCGTTCGTGTGCCATGTGCGAGTGAGCGCCCCGCGGGGATGGAGAGCGCCGCGGAGCGGAAGGCCCGCGAGGCGGGCGAGCTGCCGCCCCTGGGCGCGGTCGGGGGCGGCGCAGCCGGGCTGACGGTGGAGACGGGGCCCGCGCCGCCGCCGCCGGGCGCCGAGTCGCTGGTCGTCAAGACGCCCGCGCCGCCCGGCGAGTCGCCGCTGTCCACGCTCAAGTCGCGCGCGTCGGCGCGCCGCGCCGCCGCCCCCGCCCGCGGCTCCTCGCTGCAGGACGACGACAGCGCCGTCTTGCTGCTCGGCTGCGCGCAGGTACGCGTCCTTTCTTTCTCCACGACATTTTTTCTTATTTCTTTCGACATCTTTCTTATTTCTTTTATGTTATTTTTTTCTTATTTCTTTCGTCGTTATTTTTTCTTATTTCTTTCGACGTCATTTTTTTCTTATTTCTTCTGTCGTAATTTTTTCTTAATTATTTTGACGTTAATTTTTCCTTCTTTCTTTTGATGTTATTTTTTCTCATTTTTTGACGTTATTTTTTTCTTACTTCTTTCGGCGATATTTTTTATTAAGGTAACTACTACTTGGCTGGCCTGAAGCGCCGTGTTCTAGGCACATGTGCCAACATTTGGCTCTCATGCTACGACCTTCTTCAGGACAAAATGCGGGACATTTCGTAGTATTTACAGTTACTCAATATTTTGCAGATTGCATTTTCAAAGATTTTATTTTTTAAGTATTTTTGCTATCATTACAGCTGTTATTAACCCCTAAATTCACGACTAAAACACAGAACATTTCGCCCTGTAGATAGTCGCAACATGACGGCCGGCTGAAACGCTGGCCTAGGATGCGGCGTCTTCCTTAGAGCCAAATTGTCATAATGATTGCCATGAGATAATTCAAGGTCTAAGCGGTTGAGCCAATGACACCAGTTGTTCACAACTTTGATTTATTTCACGTACCTTCTACAGAATGCGAGAGTTTCGCAGTGTTTTGCAGATTGCATTTTCAAGTTTTTAAAAAAAAATATCTTTTCGAAGTATTTGTTCAATTATTATTATTACTACTATTGTTATCCCCTAAATTCAAGACTAAAGAAGTTTGGAGCTATTTAAAAGTAAAATCTTCTCCAGGTTACAACAAGCTTCCTATGAAGCAGATCCAGTGACTGTGTGTTCTGACTTTGTGGTACAAAACTTTGCGCAAAATACGAACCCCCAAAACACATTTATTGGTGTTTTATTGTTATTATTGTTTACTTTATTCTCCTTTTGCTATTTCTCTTCTATCTCTTATTATTATTATTATTATTATTATTATTATTATTATTATTATTATTATTATTATTATTATTATTCCCTTTTTTCTTTCCCTTTTCGCTGCTAATCAAAAGTACTCTCAACGAACGTTTCGCAATGAGAGAAATACCTTTGGGTGAAAAACGGGTATTTGAAAACAAGCTAATTGAGATTTACGGAGACCATTACCTTCACACAAAAAATCTGCCATTTAATAAAAAAGACTGGAGAACGTCATCATTGTTTATTACATTCGAGATTATTAACTAATGTCTTTTAAAGTTAACTTACAATTCACAATTTTCATACTTGAAAATTTTTAAGAAATTAATAAATTACATGGTTCAATACTCGCCTTAAAATCTAAAAATACAGAAAACAGTGAAACCTCGTTAATGCGAATTCCAAGCGTCTGAAATAATTAAAGTTCGAGTTATAAAGATTTGTGTTAGCTTAGCATAGTTTGACGCCTCTGGAAGGTATTTTCATGTTAAAAAAGTTTATTTTTGCATTGAAAGTTCATAATAAAAATACGTTTTAAACATGTTACACTTGGCCAGTTCGTCCATTTCTGACATACTACAAACTTTCATAAAAAATATAGATTAAAACACTTATTTAAATTTTTGCTTCATTATAAAGTAAGGTTTAATTATTGTTAATCTGATGAATAAAGTCAACTGACAACAATTCATGTAAATGAAGGAAAGGGTGCAGTAAATCACAGCATTTCACCAGTGTACATTAAAACCATCAAAGAGACAAGTTTTCTTTAATTCTTCCATAGTATTCTGGGGGGAACCGGTTAAGATTATGTCAATCGATTTGTCTTGTCGAGAGAAGTAAATTGAGCTATTGATTACCTCTGTAGGCGCGTTAAGTCACCTGAAACGCGTTCTAGTTTCTTTACAACAAACAAAAAAAACATTTTTTAAATAATGTTCTTAGTATCTTCTGGATGGATTTACAAAATGATCAGTTCCCACCACGAAACCAAATCGCGTTTTAATGACATCTTGCTTTTGTCTACATTGAAGGACCGGAGGAACGGTTTCAATAAGAGTGTCAGACGAACGGACGCATATTACTCGGTTAGTGCGTAAGGATATCCGTATTCTTATGGTTCCTTGCTGGGACCCAAATTATGTTCGTGTCGGAGAATTTCGCGTTAAGTGAACTCAAGCTAACGAGGGGTTATTCTAATTAGTTGTTGTCTTTAACATACGTTATGAAGTTCCATTCTTTTGTGAGGTGCCATAAATGCAGTAGAGATGAAGCCTTTCAAGCAAACATTTCATTTGTGTACTGACATATAAAATGAAAGTTCATTAAGCAAATTCTGCATTTGTTTTTTAATTAAAAGTATTAGTTAATATTATCGACATTGCAATTTCGAGTTCTTGCACGTTAAGAAAACAAGTCTGGCACTATTCTCTTTCAGTCATAAGAATGTGTTATTATTTCTGTAGCGTAGATGATAACACATTATTACACATCTGACAGTGTTGTGCATGTTAGTTTGTATGTGTGTGTGTGTAAGGGGTGAGATTAAGACTAGGAAGGGAAGATCACGCGCGGACCTTGGCCCGTTTGTTAGGATACGATAAGATTTTAACTTCAAAAGAAATAAGGAAGGCAAGCATATTGGTGCCGCACTCAGGACACCCCGCTGTAGTGAAGAGGTCTTCGTCCTTGCAAAGTCTTTGACAGAATTAGGACCTCACGACATAAGCGCTTAGGAGCTCTGTTCTGGAGCTCCGGCACGGGAGGCGCCGTTCTGTCCATCCAACGCACTACGCACGCGGGACGGAAGCGGGCGTATGGAGGTCGCTGAATGTACGCAGTGAAGCCTCGATAACTCGAATCTCTGTGAATCGAACTCCACAGCATTCATTCTTCTCTCAATTCTCAATTTATTTCTCTTCCCAATCAGATAATTATACGAGAGCTGCAACCTTGACGATTTCAAGTATTCGATTACCAACACTTTTCTTCTTTCGCATTCGAGATAGCTTGGTTGTGATTTACTAGTGTCCCATGACTTTCCCACGCGAAGTCGGCCTCCGTATAAAAGGTATTTCTCTTTGTCCAGTACTCAAGGACGTGTTTGATTACTATGCAGAGCGATTTTTTTCCGGGCGAGCGTTTTTTACTTTTTTTCTGTTCGACTGCTACAGAATCATTACGGGAGTTCTCACGAAGAATCTCAATGAGACGGTGGCTGAGAACGGCGTCGTAGACATTTAAAAGACCTTCAATATTTTTAATCAATTTTCACTTATTTTTCTTCTTATGTTTTCTGTAAAATCAAATTTTGAGAAAGAATCTGATGTATTTTGATGAATGTTTGTTATGCACTGGGATTATTGAGGTGATCTAAACTTGAGTGCGTAACATGGAACTTTTGGATATATAAATCAATCCATCTCTCAATGAAATTAGTTTGTAAATGAATTGCATTAATTATTTAGCAAAATTTATTTAATGAAGTAATAGGATGAGTTTTTAAAAATTATCGTAAATGTTCGAAATATCTTAATCGCTCACTACTACTATTGAAATAAATTTGCCGTTAAATTCCCGAAGCTTCATAATATACCTTATCGAGTATAAAAAGGGAATTACAGTAATGAAAATTCTTATACATATTTGAAGGTCTTAAAATGCTTCAACAGTTATTCTTCGTGAAATAAGATAGTTATTTAACTGAGGAAGTCTTCGAAAATGATTTGTTGCATGCAGGGAGTGTCTCACTTAAGACACACTGTGAGAGTAGATACTCGTGCATTGTGCTCCTATCTAATCATAATAAACACGCATATTTATTGAATAGATTCCACAAGACATGTTGATTCATGGAATGAGGCTATTCTAGAAAGTACGCTTAGAGGCGCGTCAAATGTTGTCAAGCCACATTGCTCGCATGCCGCTTTCTCAACAGAGGTGCGAGTTTCCTTGCTGGTAAGCGACATTGGATGATACGCCCAGCAACTGCACATCTTACTAACGGCGACGTCTTTTCCTGTGCAACCGTCAATTGGCAGGTCATAAATAAACATGTGATCATAAAATATGTCGAGTGTAGTCGATTGTGATATACCTGTAAACTAATCTGTGACATAAAATCTGGTAGCTGTCGTGCAGCGTGCGAATATCATTAGCATAATGAGACGATTTTAGTTCAAAATTAAGCTGCCAATTAATGTGTAGGGATCACTTTCGGATTCGTGTTCAACGCGGTTGTCAAACAAAACGTGACACTGAGCAAAATGACCAATTTGGTTTGGTATTAAAACGTGGTTGTGTAACTATGTCATTATGACGTATCTGATTAAGGCTAGCAAGTCACCAAATAAAGAAAAAAACATTAAAACAAGTATTATGAGCACTTCTAATTGCGTGGAATGAGGAAGGGAAACCGTTCACTCCAGTAGCCAACCGATGGTTAAATTGGATATCAAATAATTAGCATGATGTATTACAATAATTATTGATTTTAAGTGTACCGAAAACATTTGGTTGAATGCAGTTGCGTGGATGGGAGTGGCGCTCTCTTTTACGACCCAAATCGCTGCAACCCTCGTCTTCCCAAAACAGACGAAGCCTTACGCCTGGCCCTGGTGGCAACACGTTTTCGTGTATTATGAATAGAGGGCGGATTGATGAGCAATTAAAACCTGCAAAATATGTAGGCATTTTCGCAATTTAAATAAGTAAAACACAAACAAAAAGCCTCAACCCACGCTTATAAAATAGAGATGTTAATACATCTACATTGATAATTCAAAAAACTACTTCAAATTCAGCGACTTAAATTACATTTATTTTTTCATAAAGTTAAAGTGCCCGATTACCGCTAGATTTAAAATGGTTCCATTCTCTTTAACTACAGAAGGCTTTGCAAACTACGTTAACTCTCTTGCGAGGTAAAATAGCTTTAATTAAAAAACAACAACATTATTTTCGTTTTCAGGAGCGAAGGAAGTGACATAAGTAAAATAAATAAATACG